ATTCAGTTAACTGTTCAGAGTTTACCTACAAAGATTATAACTTGAACGAGGCAATACACGTTATTCTCTCTTATGCATTAAACGGTTCATAATTTTGATGTTGGTATTCTTGTTCCCTTAGGTTCACGTGTTTGTTGGGAGGGAGCAACGAAGAGAATTTCATATTATTTGCTGTACATCTATATCTAAATTCAAGCTCATCAGTTTGCTCTTGTGATTGTGTTTCTTCATTTCATTTTCATTTTGGCATATGACGATAGAACTTGCAGTTACTAAGCCAAGACAAATACTTCAGCTTTTGATCCATGTTTCGTGGAATCTCATTAAGAGAAAATTTAAAAATTTAACTAGATAAGTGAAGGTGAGCAATGACAGTACAGTAGAACCTTAACTTACAGCTCGTATTTACCTCCTTCAACAAAGTCCAGGGCATGGTAGGTGAGGGCCGTCAAGGATGCGGTTCATCCTTTTTATTAACACAGAGAGATGCTGCAGGTCCAGATCTTAAAAGATTCCGGCAATCATCAAATTTAGGTGAGCCGGTCATCAACTTCTAGAAATTTCCCTGCGGTTTAAGTAGTAATAATGAAGTTACCTACCAGTACATTTTCTTTCTTATCAAATACTCTAGGAGTGGCAGTCCCTAACATGGGCGGACCCAATGCAGGTCCACTGCACTGGACTTTGGGCCGTAACCAACAAGGCCCAAGTAAAAAACCTAAAAAAAATAAAAGAGAAATTACAAAAAATCAGGTGTATAATTTACACAAATTCAAAAATCAGGTTGAGAGTTTATTTATTCAAAAATCAAGTATTTTATTTTAAATATCAAACCCTAAATCTATCCAAACCCTAAAATAATCCATACCTCAACTCTATCTCTCTCTCACCATTTCTCTCCACTATCTCCACTGGCCGCGCCTCCACCTACTTCTCCTCCCCTCCCCATCCCCCTCCACCTCCACCTCCACCTCCATTCTACCTCGTTCCTCTGGCGATTCTTCGCGACGTTCGTGTGCGTCGACGATAGGCGCAGCATCGGCCACCGTGCTTGATGCACCAACACCTCACCTATCGTAAGCAGCGATGCGCACGTCCATCATCGTTTCTCTTTTTTTTCCTCCTCTACTTTTGTTTCTCTGGTTGGTGTGGGGGTGGTGCGGTGGTTTGGGGATTTTTTTGCACTGGTTGTTGACTTGTGGTGGTGCACCTTTTTTTTTACGGCGACTTGCACGATCTCTCTTTATCTAATGTCACTGCTCTTCTCTGGTGACTTCTCTCCAACACTGCGTTGCACCACTATGGGTAGGTGGTTTTCTGATATATGGTTGGGTAGTTTTTTTGTAGGTGTGGTAGTGTTAGAAAAAATGGTGGATTTTAGCAGGCAGTAGTTGAGGTTGTGCGGTGGTTGATTGGAGTTGTAGGAGGAGGTGGTGGGTGGTGTTGGAGCTAGCGGTTGTGAGGGTCGGCTGTGTTGGTGGATGGTCTGTGGGTATTGTGTGGCTGTGTTGGCGGATCTGTTTGTTGGTGGTTTGGGCTGATCTGTGGTGGTTTGGGTGGTGTTGTTGTGTGGTGCGGTGTGTTGCTGTTGCCGTGTGGTATTGTTTTGACGGTGGCGGCGGTGGTGACTGGTGGTATGTCTGGTGGTGTTACATTAGTGGCGACGGGGATGGAGGTTCTGGCAGTGGTGGGCTTGGGTTTTTTTTTTGTTGGGTTGTGATTGTGGTGTGGTATGGTGATGCCTGCATTGTTGGTGTAGGTTGTTGGTGGGTTGCAAAATGGTGGTGGTGGTTGTATGTTTCCTATGGCAGAGGTGGTACGTTTCTGTTGGTGGTGGTGTGACGGTGCTGTCGAGATGGTGATGGTGGTGCAATTGATCTAGGTGGTGGTGTAGTGATTTGTTGGCATTGACTTTGTTGTTGGTAGTGTTGTAATGCTGTGGCGGGTGAGGGTGGTTGCAAGTGGCTGTAGTGGCCGTGCTGGTAGTGTTNAAGTGGCTGTAGTGGCCGTGCTGGTAGTGTTGGAGTGGGTGGTCGAAAGTGGCCATAGTGGTAGTGTTGGTGGTATGTGACTAAGTATTTGGTTATCTGTGATCAATTACTCAACTGTAACCTAAAAAATTAATAATATGTGACTCAAAAATATAATCCGTGACCTAAAATTTATATAATATGTGATCGTAAAAAAATTCGTGACCAATTAATTTGAAAATCTGTGACTGTGTGACCTATAAATTTTGATCTGTGACCTATTTAGAGCTTGTTTGGGAGAGATTCTAATCCAATTAAAATTAAAAATATAGTTTTTATTGGGTTCCACTCATCCAATAAAAGTCAACAATAACAGTTAATTTTTCAATTTTAATCCGATTTTAATCTCTCCCAAACAAGCACTTAATAGTCACAGATTTCAAAATTTGTAGGTCACACGGTCACAGATTTCCAAACTAATTAGTCACAAATTCTTTCACGGTCACATATTATATAATTTTTAGGTCACAATTAAACATCGTGGTCACAGATTAAACAATAAAAAAGTGTTATGTTTCGTAATTTTTATATTTCACTTTCATGCATTGTGTTTTAAACAACAAGACTTTCAATTATATCAAATACTTATGAAAATTTAGAAAAAAAAAAAAAAAATTGGATCTGAATCCGAATTTAGTTTTTTAGTTAGAAACTGAGAAACTTAGCTTATCGATTCTAAGATTCAAGACCGAGTGCTTGTTTGGTAGGAATTTTTGGGGGAAGAATTGATTTTTTAATAGTGATATAATGAGAAATGTGTGGTTGAAAAAGAAGAAAAAATTATTGATGGGATGGAAAATATTATTTTATTGAAGAATGTGTGGTTAAAAATGAGAATTGATCAATTTTCAAATAAAAAAAACACCCCCTGAATCAATTTTGTCTGAAATCAGATTGAATCGGCTAGTTCGATTCGGATCGTGTAGTGTGGTTCAGGGTAAAAATGGCATGTCCCTCCACAATAAAATTTTAAATGGGCTATCATTAGAGTAGCCCGAACTGCGCGCATCCATTGGGCTTTCTAAATCAGCCCACATAAACCCATCCAAAAAACCAGGGTTTTTACCTTCACACACTAATAAGGATATTTTCACTTTCAAGAGTGCCAAAAGGGCTCCCTTCATTGTTTCTGCTCAGCCGCGTCCGCCATAGCCGCAAGTCTTAACCCTAAGATCTCTGTAATCTTCTCCATCCATGTTATCCATCTACCTTATTCATTTGTATTAAACTCATTCGAATCATTTCTTATGCTCGACGTTTTATATGTACAACAACAAGTTTAAGATTTTTGAGATGGTTACTTCACTTCTTTTCTTTTTAGTAAGGAAATGTAGGAATATAAACTGAAGTTATGCATTTGATTTTTATATATTAGGCCTGCTTAAGAATTAAAATGTGTTTATTTTGTATCTATAGATATATGATTTTCTCCATGATTAATGTATTAGCTCTTGTTATTGAGTTATATGATTTTAACATATGATTAGTATATTGTAGTTATTTAATCTGTCTCATATGTAGCTTTAGTTAGTATTGTATATGTTGCTTGTCTATAGCGGGATACCTGTGTCTGAACTGATTGCCAATTAACTTGATTTTTAATTGTGGCGATATAATTATAATTTTAAAATTTTGAGTTGGGATCAAAGTATGATTTTTTGGTTTCAGATAAGTTGACTGGTTCAAGATTTAAACTGAGTTATTTTTGTTATAAACTTTACGCAAAGATCTCTTATTAAAATTTTAAGGTCTAAAATGACTTGTTTTGAAACTTTTTATATTAAGGGTATTTTAGGTAGTTATAAGGTTAAATAGTAAAAAGGGGTATTTTGAAAAGGGTACGGTTGAATTTGGGGTATTTTCAATAATTTCCCTCCAAAAAACCAGGGTTTTTACCTTCACACACTAATAAGGATATTTTCACTTTGAAGAGTGCCAAAAGGGCTCCCTTCATTGTTTCTGCTCAGCCGCGTCCGCCATAGCAGTAAGTCTTAACCCTAAGATCTCTGAAATCTTCTCCATCCATGTTATCCATCTACCTTATTCATTTGTATTAAACTCATTCGAATCATTTCTTATGCTCGACGTTTTATATGATATTCAAAGTATGATATTTTGGTTTCAGATAAGTTGACTGGTTCTAGATTTAAACTGAGTTATTTTTCTTATAAACTTTACGCAAAGATCTCTTGAACGTTTTCACGGATTTGGGTGTGGAGTAAAAATCTAAATTGCTATTTGTAAACTTGTACAGTTATGCCGTTAATTTATGATTTTATCTGTTTCTCAGCTTATGCATTAGAAGTTATTCATTGTTTACTCGCATTCGTTTATTTTTTGATCTGACTTCATTAGTAACTTACCTCTTCTCTGTGGTTTAGGTAAGTCATGGTTAAGCATAACAACGTTATCCCAAATGGGCATTTCAAGGGGCAGACACTGAAGTACAACACGAAAATCAGAGCTGGTAGGGGATTTTCGCTGGAGAAGCTCAAGGTAACTCGTTCTCTGTAATGACTTTGACTTCATTTGTTATGACACTACATAGCTGGCTGTCTGTTGCCTGGGTTTTTTGAAAGAATTTTATGTAAAAAAATTTATATGCATATCCATGTCTGATGTGCACTGTACCTATGCTCATGCTACCTAGCATTCTGTTCAAATTTTAGATTTAATTTTTTTATTCTGGTAAGCTTAGCTATGAGTTTCCCTGCTTCCAATAATAGCATCATGCCATTATCATTTGAAGTGCCTTTTTTATGTGCTAAAACTTAAACTTTGATGAGTTTAAATAACTATCGGGGTCTGTGTATCGATCAGGCTGCAGGTATCGTAAATCCAAAGTAATGTTGATTTTCAGTGGTAGAAAATGGCTACACATTCTTTGTTTCTTTTGTCATGATTGTTGGTTCTCTTGCAGGCTGGTGATTCTACTCCAGAGGAGTTTGGAACAGCTACTCAAGTCCAAGGTTCTTACATGCCAATTGTACGGGAGAAGCCAACTGTGGAGCTTGTTAAGGTCACAGAGGAGATGAAGTCATTCAAGGCATATGACAAACTACGTTTAGAACGAAATAATAAGCGCCATGTTGGAGTCAGGACACAAGAAGCGGGTATGTTTACAGTGCCCCAGACTATAGGCAGCGTCCTATGCTGCAAATGCGGCATTTTGATGCAACCAAATGCTGCAAATATGTGTGCCAAGTGCTTGCGTTCTGAAGTTGACATTACAGAAGGCCTACAGAAGCACTTGGTAATTATCCATTGTCCTGAATGTGAGAGCTATTTGCAGCCGCCTAGGACCTGGATGAAAATGCAGCTGGAGTCTAAGGAGCTGCTGACCTTTTGCATAAAGAGGTCGAAGAACTTGAATAAAGTCCACTTAGTTCATGCAGAATTCATTTGGACTGAACCTCACTCCAAGAGAATTAAAGTTAGACTGAGGGTCCAGAAAGAAGTTCTGAATGGGGCAGTACTTGAACAAGCTTACACCGTTGAATATGTTGTGCAAGACCAGATGTGCGAGTCTTGTACAAGGGTTCAGGCTAATCCTGATCAATGGGTGGCTGCAGTTCAACTGCGGCAGCATGTTTCTCACAGGCGCTCTCACAGGCGCACTTTCTTCTATTTAGAGCAGCTTATTATTAAGCACGATGAAGCTCGCAATGCAATAAGAATTAAGCAGATGGACCAGGGAATTGATTTCTTTTTCGTTAATCGGAGTCATGCTGGGAAGTTTGTCGACTTTGTGGGTGAGGTAGCTCCAATTAGGAAACGAAATGACAAGCAACTTGTATCCCATGATCCGAAGAGCAACAATTACAATTACAAGTACACTTTCCCGGTTGAGATATGTCCAATATGTCGTGAGGATTTGATATGTCTTCCTCCTAAAGTTGCTGCAAGTCAGGGTCACTTTCTCGGTTGAGATATGTCCAAGATGTCGTGAGGATTTGATATGTCTTCCACCTAGAGTTGCTGCAAGTCAGGGGAATCTTGGACCCCTTGTGATCTGCACCAAAGTGACTAACAGCATTGCTTTATTAGACCCATTTACTCATAGGCGCTGCTTCTTGAATGCTGAGCAGTATTGGAGGGCACCTTTTAAGGCTCTGCTTTCAAGTAGGCAGCTTGTGGAATATATAGTGTTGGACATTAAGACTGATTCTTCTGCAGTCATTGTTGGTGGCTCAAAGTATGTTGTAGCTGATGCTAAAATTGCCCGTGTATCTGATTTTAGAAAGAATGATATTATATTCAACGTTAGGACACATCTCGGCCATCTCTTAAACCCCGGTGATTATGCCCTTGGTTATGACCTATATGGTGCGAACAGTAACGATATTGAACTAGACAGGTACAAGGGTTTCGTTCTCCCAGAGGTGATATTAATTAAAAAGAGCTATGAAGAGAAACGTCAAAGGAAGCAAAACAAACCTCGCTCATGGAAACTCAAATCTCTTAACATGGAAATCGACAATTCTACTAGGGGTAGAGATCACGAGGAGAAGATGAATGCAGAGTATGAACAGTTCAAAAGAGACTTGGAGGAAAACCCTGAATTGAGGTTCAATATTTCCCTTTATCGAAACAAAGAGTACCAGCCATCAGAAATGGCTTCCGAGACTGATGGAGAGGATATTCCTTCCATTCCAATAGAAGAATTGCTTGCTGATCTTGACTTAAGTGACAAGGAACTGGAGGATGGTAGCATGAAGGAATGATTTCAATGAATTCTTTAGCATTAGCATAAATTTTGTTTTTGAAGCAAGAATGCAACATGTACGGAAATATGTCTATAATTTACAAAATAGGCTGGATTGGTATTTTCTGTTTTGTTTGGTGAAATATTGAGTTTGTCATGCATGATCGTGTCCCTTTTGCTTTCGACATCTGTATATTAGGAAAACTAGTTTGCTGTTATCGGCGATATAGTGTGAGCGGTGGGACAAATGGTATTGCATATTGCTAAATAGATGACATACTGCTTTGAACATGGATGCACTTTTTGGTCCAGTTTAAGATCCAAGTCATATTTACTTTTTAAGTGAAAATACCAAAATTAAGATTATCTCAATATCTTGTGCTTATTTTGACAAAAAATTGGAATTACTCTCATTAGGTTGACAAGAGAATTGTTTATTTAAATAAACTTATTTACTTATAAGTAAACATAAGTTTATATGTTTTTCTAAGATTAGCAAGATATGGATTGTACCATGAAGTTATTGACATTATCTTTTTAATTAGGGGTTGGTTCATGATGGTTCGGTCCAAGTATCTTGAAAATCCGTACTAAGGCAGTGTCTGGGAGTGCTTTTGGAGGAGAAGAAATCAATTTTCCACCCGTTACAGCCCACAATTGTTGACTCACTCTCTCACTCGTGGGTCCCACATGGCTGCTCCAACATCAATATTCCTAATTTTAAGCCAGCCTTTAAGTTCTACCAGACAAGCATTAAATTGATTTTCATTGAGAATTGTATAAATGGAACCATTTGTTCTTTGGAAAAAGGAATCGAATTAGTTATGGTCCATTTTTTTATGTTTCAAAAATATATTTTTAAAAGTGTTATGTTTCATAATTTTTATATTTTAAACAACACAACTTTCAATTATATCAAATACTTATGAAAATTTAGAAAAATAAAATAAAAATTGAATCTAAATCCGAATTTAATTTTTTAGTTAGAAACTGAGAAACTTAGCTTATCGATTGTAAGATTTAAGACCGAATCAATTTTTTTCTGATTGCCAATTAACTTGATTTTTAATTGTGGCGATATAATTATAATTTTAAAATTTTGAGTTGGGATCAAAGTATGATTTTTTGGTTTCAGATAAGTTGACTGGTTCTAGATTTAAACTGAGTTATTTTTGTTATAAACTTTACGCGAAGATCTCTTGAAAGTTTTCACTGTTTTGGGCGTGGAGTAAAAATCTAAATTGCTATTTGTAAACTTGTACAGTTATGCCTTTAATTTATGATTTTATCTGTTTCTCAGCTTATGCATTAGAAGTTATTCATTGTTTACTCGCATTCGTTTATTGTTTGATCTGACTTCATTAGTAACTTACCTCTTCTCTGCAGTTTAGGTACGTCATGGTTAAGCATAACAACGTTATCCCAAATGGGCATTTCAAGGGGCAGACACTGAAGTACAACATGAAAATCAGAGCTGGTAGGGGATTTTCGCTGGAGAAGCTCAAGGTAACTCGTTCTCTGTAATGACTTTGACTACATTTGTTATGACACTACATAGCTGGCTGTCTGTTGCCTGGGTTTTTCGAAAGAATTTTATGTAAAAAAATTTATATGTATATGAGAGTTCAAAATCCATGTCTGATGTGCACTGTACCTATGCTCATGCTACCTAGCATTCTGTTCAAACTTTAGATTTAATTTTTTTATTCTGGTAAGCTTAGCTACGAGTTTCCCTGCTTCCAATAATAGCATCATGCCATTATCATTTGAAGTGCCTTTTTTATGTGCTAAAACTTAAACTTTGATGAGTTTAAATAACTATTGGGGTATGTTAATAGATACTGGCCAACACTAAAACAACCACCATTATTTTATTTATTATTCCTTCATCTGTTTATTAGCTGGCACAATACAATAGGTTGAGTTTGTTAGTTTGTTACACACTTTGCTGTATAAATATTTTTGCTTTCCTTCAGTGTAATTTTAACAATGAGAATATTCATTTCTTTCCTCCATTGATACGCTCTCTGCCTTTTACTGTTTATCTTCTTTAATTTCTAACATGGTATCAGAGCATTGAGAGCACCTACAATGGCAACTTCCGACACCGACTCTGCTGATTCTCCTTCTAACCCAGAAACCCAAATCCCTTCTCCATACCTAAATCTTCTTGATCCAGCAAACCCATACCGGCTTGACCATGGCGACAGCCCAGCCCTAACCCTTGTTGCTGATCTCCTTACCACTGACAACTATGCTACATGGTCTCGCTCAATGCGACGCGCACTTCGCGCGAAAAATAAACTCGGCTTCATCACCGGATCCATCACCAAACCCTCCAAACCCACCGATCCGTTGTTTGAGCTTTGGGAGCGTTGCAATGATATGATTGTTTCTTGGCTTCAGAACTCTATCAGCTTCTCCCTCCAATCCAGTGTTCTTTTTGTTGATGATGCTCGTGAGATCTGGCTGGACCTCCAGGAACGATTCTCGCACCAAAATGGCCCTCGTATTTACCAATTGAAGAAGGCTTTAGCTGCTCTGTTTCAAGAGCATGATCCAGTAAGCATTTATTATGGAAAATTGAAAGCCATCTGGGATGAATTATCTGTCTATGATCATATTCCTTCTTGTACTTGTGGCTCTATGAAAACCTTGCTGGATCGATCTCAGCGTGATTGTGTGCTGCAATTTTTGATGGGTCTAAATGACTCTTACTCTCCAATCAGAGACCAGATTATGATCTTAGACCCCATTCCACCTATCTCCAAAGTATTTTCTCTTGTCCAACAACAGGAAGTACACTACCAAATAGCCTCTCGCACTCCCTCACCAGAGACCATGGCTATGGCTATCCAAAAACCTTACACTTCTTCCAAAAGCACACCCAAATCAAACCATTTTTAAAAGAAAGACCGTCCCTATTGTCGCCACTGTAAAATCACTGGTCACACTTTCGAGACTTCCTTCAAGGCTGGCAATGCTGAGCCTCCTCTTTGCTCACATTGCAACATGACTGGCCATACCATTGAGAAATGCTACAAACTCAATGGATACCCACCTGGCCACAAATACCATAACAAACCGCAGCAACAATCTGGTTTTCTTGCAAATCAGGCATCTCTTCCATTTGTTTCTGACCCTGAAGACAACAATGATGCCAAAGTTGGTTTAACCAAGCAACAATATCACCAACTAATGACATTGCTCAGACCTCAGGATTCTTCAATTATGGCCTCAGCTGTCCACTACAGCAACCCTTCTCCATCTTCTTCCAAAATGTCTGGTACTTCCACCTCTCTGTCTACTCACACACCATGCTCACTATATTCTTCATCTACTGCTTGGATACTAGACACAGGCGCTACAGACCATATGGTCTGCAGCACCACCTTTTTTTCCACCATTACGTCTATTGTTTCTTATTTTGTAAAATTACCTAATGGTCTTTCTGCCCCTGTTACACACATGGGAACAATTCACTTAACAGATTCTATCATTTTGCATAATGTCCTTTGTGTACCTTCATTCTCCTTCAACCTTATTTCAGCAAACAAACTAACCTCTGCCTTAAATTGTTGTTTGTTTTTCTTTTCCAATCACTGTTTTATTTAGGACCTGCACTCATGGATAACGATTGGGATGGGTGAGCTCAAGTATGGCCTGTACCATTTCCTTTGCAAGAAAGTCCTTCCCTCAGCTCTATCTACCTTTCTCTCGGCACACTCCTGCAACAACAACAACAACATTTTATCTTGTTTTACTTATGTTACCAAAACTATATCACATACTGACCTATGGCATTGTCGCCTAGGTCACTTATCATTTCCTAGGTTAAAATTAATTTCAGATCCTCTTGTACGCACAGGAATTTCACCTATTAATGAAAAATCTTGCGAAATTTGTCCATTAGCTAAGTTTCATCGTTTATCTTTTCCTGATAGTACACATTCTTCAACAAGGATTTTTGAGCTCGTTCATTGCGACTTATGGGGTCCTTGCTCCACTATTGCTCATGATGGCTCAAAGTACTTCTTGACCATTGTTGATGATTTCTCTAGAACTACTTGGATTTATTTACTTGCTGCAAAATCTGAAACTAGAAATTGCATTACAGCCTTTTACAATCTTGTTGAGACACAATTCCAAATGAAAATTAAAATTCTGAGAAGTGATAATGGTGCTGAGTTTAACATGCATGATTTTTTCAACAAAAAAGGCATTATTCATCACAAGAGTTGTGTTGCAACCCCTCAACAAAATGGTATTGTTGAGAGGAAGCACCAACACTTATTAAATGTGGCCCGTGCCCTCCTTTTTCAAGCTGGTCTTCCATTAACTTACTGGAATGATTCCATACTTACAGCCACATACATTATTAATAGGCTCCCTTCACCCCTTCTCACTAACAAAACCCCGTATGAACTTCTTTTTAACAAGAAACCAGAATATGCTCACATGAAAGTCTTTGGTTCCCTTTGCTTTGCTGCCACACTTGCTCATAACAGGACAAAATTTGATCCTAAAGGTCGTGCATGTGTTTTTCTTGGCTACCCTTTTGGAACTAAAGGCTATAAGCTTTTGGATCTCAAAACTAACACAATCTTCATTTCAAGGGATGTCATTTTTCATGAATTTATTTTCCCTTTTCAAACACCACCTTCTCCTTCCTCCACAGCCCCATCTCTTCCCCTTTTCTCCATTCCTTCTACTCCTTCTCCTAATTTTTCTGATCCACTCCCCACCAATCACATAATTCCTTCTTCCTCACCCCATAAACCTCTCACTATTTCTCCTGAACATCCTGATATACCATCTCCTCCTCCCAATTCTTCCCCATCTCCCTCTTCCATTTCTCTTCCTGCAGGCCAGTCACTTCGAAGATCAACCAGAAACAGGACAGCCCCTCAATATCTGAAGGAATTTCACTGCAAACAGGTCACACTTGTCTCACCTCATCAATCTACATCCCCTGCAGCCCCTGATTTCAATGGTAAACACTTTTCTCTCTCTACCTGTTTATCATACAAACACTTTAATCCCTCCTTTCAAGCTTTCTCATCCTCTGTTTCCATTCAAACTGAGCCCACATCATATAAGCAAGCACTTAGAAATCCTGCTTGGTGCAAAGCTATGGATGCTGAAATTGAGGCTTTGGAAAACAATCAAACTTGGACCATCACTGATTTGCCTGAAGGGAAAGTTGCAATTGATTGTAAATATGTCTATCGCATTAAATTCAAGTCTGATGGTTCTATTGAAAGACTTAAGGCTAGACTTGTAGCCAAAGGCTACACCCAACAAGAAGGCATCGACTATACGGACACTTTTTCACCCGTTGCCAAACTTGTTACCGTTCGATGTCTCCTTAGTGTAGCAGCCGTCAAAGGATGGTATTTGCATCAATTTGATGTAAATAATGCATTCATTAATGGTGATTTACATGAAGAAATCTACATGAAAAAACCCCCAGGTTACACCAAGGGCAAGCCAACACAAGTATGCAGATTACTCAAAAGCCTTTACGG